TCTGATTGGCTAATAAATTCAATTTAATTTTACATTATTTATACAGTTTAGAGTACTTTTTTAAAAAACGAAAACCAATTATAAAAAAGTAAAAAAAAAAAACATATAAAAGGTTTCATTAGAGTTGTAGGACTCCATAGTCAAAAATAGATCTAATTCTCGTTCATTTAAAAAAATTAGCTTTGTAATAAGTTTGATTTTATCGGGTTTTGAGAAGTTATTGCTATACTAGCTTTTTTAAACGGACGAGAATTAGATCTTATTTTTGGCTACGGAGTCATACAGCTCTAATGAAACCTTCTATATGTTTTTTTTTTACTTTATTGTGGTTGGTTTTCGTTTTTTAAAAACGTACTCTAAACTGTATAAATAATATAAAATTAAATTGAATATATTAGCCAATCAGACAAACTTCTGCCTATGAAACTTGACACCCCTACAGTAACCGCACCTGTGGCTTCCAGGTTACACCGTCGACGGCGTTGGCAATTGGTCAATTAGCTAATGAATATCATTTGTTGGACTGTCCAATTGCAAACATTGGTAGTAGCCTCGGGTGAATACACGTGGTCACCTGAGAAGAACTATTTTAAAGAATGTTGGATTATTCTTTTAAAATGATTCTCGCTACTATCGCATGTTGCCATGCGCTTCCTGGACACTTAGGTCTCTCATATCACTTCTTTACTAGGTTGAAGGCTCGTTGGTTATTTAGTGTCGGTTTAGAAAAACTCGATTGTATCGAAGCTTGAAGTTTATATTAGATATCATTGTAAATAAAGTTTTATATAAATATTGTTATAAATAAGTTTTATGTTAAATCGGTAACAAATTTTTTATGTTATTACGGTTTGAAAAATTATGTGAAATTTGATCATTAAAAGAAACATATTCATTAATTTCCGATTACATATTCCCGATTTCTTCAATATTTTTTTTGACTTTTAGACTATACAATTGCGCATTTATCATTTGTAAAAAGTTGATTGAAATTTTAATACGCAACTCCTATTCTGCAAATATATTACAAAATGATGAATATGCAACTTTTATTTTATAAAAATAATAAAATTTTTACAAAATATTAGATGCTCAAATTTTGTCTAATCTAAAAATCAAAAAAAAAAAATGGGGAAAAAATCAGTGATTACTTTTTTTTAATGTTTAAATTTCACATAATTTGCAAACCACAATAAATAAAATTATGAGTTTTTTTTTTACGTGATTTAAATATCATTTTAATAAAACGTTATACCTTTTTAAAATATATGATTTAAAACCGATGAATTAACGTTAATGGCTTTCATATTTATTTTTTTATATACTAGGTTGATATGAAATTAATGATCTCTATATTACTCACATAGTTAATGCAAATTAAATAAATAATCATAAAATAATCATAACATAATCATAAAATGGTTAGCTTATTTCAAATATCTTAATACAAGCAAAATATATAAATACTGTATATATATATACAGTATAAATAAAGGAGTATACAAAAATGGTATCATAAAGTACCAAATAGTCTAGGTTTTTTTTTTTGAAATATGGCGAAGAAAAAAAACGATCGCTATTTCGTATGATCAAGGAAGAATATATAAAGTGCTGATAAGCCACTTGGACATAAGCAAAAAAAACCATTAGTTTATATATTTTAGATAAATCTAGCCGGTTTTAATGAGATCTTGAGACTTACCACACCTCAATTAAAACAGCATCAACCTCCGACATGACGAACATTTTAGATAAATTTGGGATTTAGAGTGTATTTAATGAATTACTCATTTATTTTCTTTAATATTGTAGAAACCGCATAAACCTCCATTCACGTGAAGCACGTGGAATCTTGCAATTTACTTTCATAAGTAGCAAGATCCTCACGCCCTGACGTGAAGTACTTTATTCATATCGTATCATGTGATAACTTGCAAATATTTTTCTCAATACTCTTGCTAGAATGTTTCGTTAACGTGAGTGTGCGCGAAAATATGCGAATTACACTAAAGTCATCAAATTCCTAATTGTTAGTTCGCATCTTGTAGATTATTTTCAAAATGTAAATGACCTTCGTAGAATTTAATCAACTACAAATGTTGTTGATATATTCATTAGAATAATTATAATAATTAAACGATTTTTAATAAACTACCTGACGAGGACATTTTCTATGTACTTCTTGAGCTGTATGATAGCTTTTAGTACCATCGTTCCTAATATGAAATGTATCACTCAGAACGGCGTTATCATGAAAGTTTACTAAACTTCGTTAACATGCATACCAAATCACCAGCATCAAAAGTTGACTAGTAGCATAGTCGAGAAAAACATTTGCTATCGTTGCAAGATTTTCCCAGCCATCTTCATTATTAGTGGTATTGACACGATCATTAACTTGAGATCCTGATGCGTCGCGAGTCCATGTTGACCCATCATAAGAGAATCGAGTTGAATTTATTGCACCATTAGAAACATTAGAAACATCATCAGGTGAATTTTCAATATTTTGGTTTTCTTTATTGGGAATTTTATCCTTATTTTTTGAATTTGGTTTTGTCTGTTTTGTAGATTTTTTTTCGCTACGGTTTTTTGTGGATTTATTCCAATACATCCTAATTAGAGTTGGTGCATAACTGATAATTTCCTGGATTAGTCATTTAAAAACAGTCATTGTAAATTTAATCAATCAACTTGAACGGCATATAAACATACACGTTTCTTTCATCCTCCCATGAGTTGTCCTCTGAACCAAAGCCATCCCATTTTATCAAATATTGTATGGATCCCTATAATGAAAAATAAATTTATAATTAGTTTTGATTTTTAATGGTTATAGTGATGCCGTCTCTCTAAAAAATCCATTAACGATTAATTATTACATTCCGAGTCCTATGCGAAAGTATCTTTTCAACGGCAAAGACCTCCTCATCGAGATCGCATGTGTTTCGTATTTGGTTAATTGTCATTTCAAAGACGCAAATTCTTGGATGATTTGTTTCTTAGGAAATATATAATGACCGAAGATGAATTAAATCATAGTTTATGATTCAAATATGTAATTACATTTTATTATATGTCAGAAAGAAAAAAGTATGTATGATTATCACCAAAAAATAATCACTTACATAATAACGATATCATTCATAGAATATTTGTACCTGACATAGCAACAGTTATAGTAAATCTATTCTCGAGTATATCATATTGAATTTTATTTGTGATGTCTGAAGCCTAAAAATCACGTGAGCCGTCTCTTTTTATGAATTTTGGTGTTTTTTTTTATTTGGATTGGGTAAAACTTTTTGATTTTTGTATTTTGATTGGCAAAATTTATTGGATAAAAAGTTTTTTAGAGATATGTACAGTTTAGAGATGCGATCCGTTATCCGTTTTCATATTTAAATTTAACGGATATCCGGATTCTTCATAATAAATTTGTTATAAAATTAACCTAGCGGATATCCGGATCGCATCTCTAGAATTACCGATTTTTATCAAATTTAAAAATTAAAATAAATATGATTTATTTTTGCTAACTTGCCTTTGGTTAATATAATTACTCTTTTATTATAATTTAAAAACAGTTGAAATAATTGTATTTGATAGATTAAATAAAAATATTTGTCGCGGCTGAAATTTGGGTCTTGATTTGAAAATATAAGCCTTGCTAAAATCCACATATACACTTTATTTATCAGTTCTAGCCCGAAATTCTAACATAACCCAACTCTAATAAAAAACGGAAAAACACCCACAAAAAATTTAAATTTTCATATCAAAATAGGTCCGAATTTCAGCATCAGTCAATTTCAGCCACGGCCATATATAACTATAAAAAATCTTATTTTAGTTTTCATTCTAACCTTAATCTTACTTCTAACTCTATTTTAATATTAATATTAGAAAAAATCTAAACAATGTTCTATTAAAGTCGGTTTTTTAGAAGTGCAGAATTAGGTTAATAGCAGTTAGGTTTTAATATATAGAGTCAGTCTTATATTTCTTTAATAGAATCACATGGCGACCTTTTGTTGGGTAGTCTTCAGGTTAATCTGTGACAATTATTTATCGAGTTATCATGTTTGAAATTAGCATCTGCTCGAAGTTTTAACTTCAAGCGCTGAAGTTGAAACTGCCTAAATTGGTAGCTTAAAGCAGATGTAACATAACGGAATAGTTTCATAAAATGTATATCTATATGCGTAAATAGTAACAATATCTGCATCAAAAAAGTACGTATCATATATTTTGACTGTAATGTTTACACGTAACTGGACATACATACACACATACATACGTGCTTTATATATATGGTTGAGTCGAAACTATTACGACTAATTTCTTGACAACTATTCCGAACAATGATATTAGAATAAATGAAAGTTTGCCTTGTTTTACCCATTTTAATTTGAACGTTACCGTCAAGGCAATTTTTAGGGTCATTGTTTTATGGTTAGAATTGAATGAAAGTGGGTAATTATTCTTGAACCCGGTCCAATTTTATATATAACGTAATAACATTTTGGTCTAGATTCAAAAATAATTACCCAAGTGTTAAAAGTGGCCCATCTTGATCTGTGCCAATTATTAGTTGCAAATTCAATCAGATTGGCCAAAATTGATCTGTGCCAATTATTAGTTGCAAATTCAATCAGATTGGCCAAAATAATAATAAGCTAATGCTGTAACTAAACTAAAGTAACATTTGTGGTTGAATCATATTGAAAGAATTTAAAGATTTAAGAATTGGTTCAGTTTCTGGATGTTCATAGGTTTTTCATCCCAGCATCTGGTATAAAGATTAATATAAAAAATTGTGATAGGTATTTCTCGCTTTCCTTAAAATACATGGATAATAATTGCATTCATAGAATTAAACGATTGAAATGGCGGTCTATCACTTGAAATTTCCCAGGAAATGACACCAAGACTATGAATATGTTAAACATTGAAGCTCAACGTATGCAGGCCTTCCATAATTAAAACTTTGTGAAGTTGACGTTTTACAATTAACAGAATTTAAAGTTTTTGATAAACCAAATCATTTTTCCTTCGTGAACTAAAATATTTTTTGAATGCTATAAAAGAATAAAGCTATAGTAAACATTTTAATATGTAAGCCGATTTTAAATAATTCAATAAATTACAAGATCTCGATGAAAAATATTATTATTGTGTAAAAAAAAAAAGACCTTTAGTTATTTCCTCGGTTATACGTAATTTGTCATTCCAATTTAAACTTTAAAATGAGTTTTCAAATATTGTCGTAAATTTCCATTATTTACATATTCTAAACCCATATTGCATCTACTCGAAGGGTCTATTAATTAAAAAAAACTATGATTAAAACTATGCATAATAAAAATAATCCAAGTGCATACAGTTTTGAAAATTTTACCTTTTTCAATACCATAAAAACTATTAATATTTGGATGAATTCCAACTTTTCGTAAAAGATGAAGCTGTAAAAAAATTTAACTCATAAATGAATGCTTTATGTCAGATGACAACTTTCCGTAATTAAAATATCTCTTTTACGAAGTCGTTGAAATGTTCTCGTCTAAGTTTAAATCAACTTTTAAACACTTTAGAGCTGCAGTTAGCCCACAGTCTACCCATTCAGTCTTTTGTACATAACCAAATCCTCCTCTGCAATTTTTTTAGGTTTGCTGAATTCCCTAAAATTGAATAAGTTTATGCACATTTCGGAAATAGCGTTCTCAAGCCATTCCTATGATTTATTTGAGTTTAACATTCTTCGGTGATTCTATCTGAATTATTAAGAATAACTTACTAGAGTAAGTTTTTCTCTCTCTTTATAACAAATACAATAATATGTATCATATGAATGGACATAAAAAGTTTTTTTTCGGAGTTTCAACATTAATTAATTTATACTGTGTTAGAATGAACGAAATTTGTACTTATGTATATTCATACAAACCTTCTTCCATAAACGCGTGTTACACGTGCGTTAATATATCTATCCGATTAGCATATTATAAGGTAAATAACTGTTCGTAAATAACTGTTCGTATTTTTTAACGTAATGTTCCACAGTTCAAAACTGGAGGTCTTAAAAAATGCATCCGTGACTAATTTGAAACTACAGTATTAGCGTTAGAATCAACAAGTTTATGTACTTTAGCCGTATAACTTAATATTTGAAAAGATCTCGAACAATTCTGAGCTCCCGTCGAAAATATAAATACGCGTACTTTATGAGTACCCTTATGTCAAGCGAAAATCGGTCTTCCGGCCTCCAGTTCCGGGGTCCCCGGTCCGATTCCTTGACCGGATCCAAAATTCTGATTGGTTAATTTTAAATTAATGTCAAGCATTTTTACGATAAATTTTTTTTATATTTGATGATACTATAATTTCTATACTGTAAAAAATTTTGCACAATTAAATTAAATGTCATGCATGTAAGAAAATATTATATAATTACTCAAGCGTGCAAATTATATATTTTTTTTGTTCAATGTAACTTTATTTAAATCAATTTCTCTGATGAAATGTTATTAATTTTTTGTACAATTAAATTACATGTGTGAAGAATTTTGCTATGCATATAAGAAAATATTGCATAATTTTTCAAACCTGCAAATTACATTTTCATTTTTGTTCAACACAACTTTATTTAAAATCAATTTCCTAATGAAGCATTATTAATTATTTAACCTATTGATCAATATAATTATTCAACTCATTAGACCTTTCTTTTTCTCTTTGGATATTAGTAATATCATCAGTAGCAACATCATTAGTAATTTCAATGCTATTATTATTATGTTTATTCAAAAGTAAATAAGTAGTATATTCAAATATTTGAATTTTATATTTTTTTAAAACAGCAAATATGTGCTTGTATAATATATAGCTTCACAATTGTAAAACTAAATTAAAGACATTTTTATTAATATATTCAACTAGATAATTATCTTCATCTTGAACTAATTTAATAATATATATAGATTCTTCTAATTAAAAAATTGTAATATTACCAATAATATTTAAATTAGTTTCAAATTTTTAGTAGTTTTTTCAATATAAACTCATTTGTTCAATATATAATTCATATTAAACAGTTTCTTAGCAATAATTGTATAATATTTTTATTGCTAATTTGCAAACAAGAAAATTAATACATCTATTAAGATGTATTGTAAAATAAAAATACTTTATTTTTTATAATAAGATTTTATATAATCATTAATATTAATTTTATATACTTTATTATATTGATAATAATTAATTCAAAGTTTTATAATTAACTAAAATTTAATAAATAAATTTTAATAAAATTAAAAACTTTAATTTGTAACTTTTTTTTATCAATATTATGTATTAAAATATTGTACTGCTAATATATATTTCTATTTTTGTTCAAACTAATCAATTGTAAACTTTATATTATTTTTATTTTTGATATTTAATATATATTCTAAACTGTAAAATAAATTATTATATTCATTTACTTTAATTTTTTTGTAAATTCTTTGTTTTATATATGTTTAACATGCTATCAATATAAAAAAATTTAATAATATAAAGATATTATGAATTATATTAGTTTTAATATTATTATTATCTGACATAACATTTTTCAAATTTATTTAATCATCTTTTTTCAATTTATTTAACCATATTTTAATACTTTACTATTACTTAATATTGTAATTAACTATAGCAATAGTATATCATAACTATTATTAAAGTGACCAATTAGAATTATAAAAAATATATATTTGTAATAATTTGTATTATGAGTTAAATCTATATAAATTAGTTAATACAAATTTTTTTAAATATTTTTTATTAAATTAAATATAATTACAATAAGAACTTAGTAATTTATCACTATAGTGACATATTGCTAGTTTCTTATTATGTAATTAATATTTATAGATTATTATTATAAAATTAAAAATTTAACTATTCACAATTTATAATTTATTACTAT